AAGTCCATTGTGTGGAGAAAAATCCTGAAATGTTTTCCTCAAAAAACTTAATTTCTTTTCCACTGAAGAAAGAAAGACATGAACATCTTGGATGGCATTGGGGTGAGTAAATTATCAGGAAATTTTCATTTTGAGGTGAACTAATCCTTTAAGCAGATTTGGCCCAGTTTCTCCCAGCAGGAAAGATAATATCAAACAAAGTCATGTTATGAAATGTCAGTGGAAACATAATTTGATTTGGTATTTTGGGAACGTAAAGGGATAGTTCACTTAAAATTAAACTTCATTCATCATGCACCCATTCCACTGGTGTCTTAAACCTGTAAGACTTTATTTCTTGTGTGGAGTGGAAAAAGAGGATATTTTGAAGAATATTATCTCTGGTCTTTTCCAGTGACTTTACCATAGCTGTTAAAGGGATAGTTCACCCAAAATTGAAAATTCAGTCATCATTAAATGAGAGTAAATTTTACTCTCCCTCATGTCATTCCAAACCCCTGAGACTTTCATTCAGAAGTTTTATGATCTCTTTATGAACTTTTTGAAACGTCAAAGTGGCATAGACTGTCAATGGAGGGACAGAAATCTCTCAAGATTTCATTAGAATATCTTTGTTTGTGTTACGAAGATGAACAAAAGGCTTACTGGTTTGGAACGACGTGAGAGTAATTGATGACAATTTATTTTTTTCATTTTTGGGTGAGCTAACCCTTTTTAAATCCAAATAAAGCACAATAAAAGTAGTCCATATGACTTAAATGCTATATTCTTCTCAGGCCATATGATAGATTTGTGTGAGAACCAGATTAATATTGAAGATATACAAGGCTAATCTTCCCCTCCAGTGTGCAGTTAACCACTGTGACTAAATCATTGAGTCACTAAGTTCAACTTAAGGAACCATCTTTTCTTTTCTTTTGAGGCTGATCATTTGAGTGATTCATTCATAGTTCAACTTACTTTCTTTGGTATGGACGTTATAGACATTATATAGAACATATTGAATTATATAGACTTTTATAGTGGGTTTTTTTTAGCTCCTTCATTTTTTCCCACATAAGAAAAGAAGTATTAAATGAAAAACATTTTTGTGGTAAAATATTCCTTGAAATGAAGGGATGAAATAATTACATGTACTGTGTGAGTAGATAAAAAGAAGGAGATGAAATAAGAGGAAGTGAGTGATTGTGAAAGACACAAGCTCAGTGGTATGGGGTGGGCTGAGGAAGTTGAAAATGACTAAACAGAAATGAGAAGAAAATAGAAGCTAGGGGGGGAAAGTCAATGTCTCTAATTTTGCTGCATTATGTCCTTCTGCACCCAACTACTACTGATGTGCAGAATTATCTGTAGTTTTTCCCAGAAGAAGAGAAGTTGACGGCAGCACAAGCGGAGAGGCAGATGGGTACTGATCACTGCGTTACTCCGCTACTAATCTAGATTTCCTCCATCAGCAGTTTTTGATAGAATTATTATTTCCCACTGCAGTAGGGCATGGGAAGAGATGGAATCAAAATCAAAATTTGAAACGTTTTCTGTAAAACTTTGAGATAACATTCATAATTGTGACATAAACCTTATTCAGAATGAAGTATTAACTTTGTATGTATTAAAGGTGCTCTAAGCGATGTCACGCGTTTTTTAGGGCAAAAATTTTTTTGTCACATACAGCAAACATCTCCTCACTAACCGCTGGCTGCCTGTCCCCTGAACACACTGTAAAGAAACGCGATCTCTGTAGACAGCCCAGGCTCCACAAACAGCAACAAAAGCAAACTGCAGCGACCCGCTCCCTGAAACATAATAAACTATTCCAGCCAATGACCGACAAGAAGGGTTTGGGGGTGTGGTTTGGGGGGTTAGTGTGCGGATGAGGAGGAGGGAGGGTCTAGCTAGCCTCCGTTTTGTTTGACAATAGTTCGAACGTCAACAAGAAGTGACGTCACCCAGGATCGCTTAGAGAACCTTTAACTAAGAAACAATGGCATAAGGAAAAACCACTCGGATTTTAACATGACTGCAAGAAAACGTGACTGAGACTTGACATTTAAAATGTTATATGCTGATTAATGAACGAAATGCTCACATTAAATGAAATGAATCACATTATATTACTTTAATAATCAAGATGGCCATAAATCAGTACAGCTGTGATTCAGCTGTTAGCACTGAATGATTCAATATTTTTAAACAAATGTTGAATGCATATCTGCCACTAGTTTCGTTCTTGAATGAATCTGCATTTTTGAACGACTGGGTTGAGTGAATGTTTTAATGATTCACTCATCAAGATTCTTCTTTTGATGCGTCTTCTTTTTTCAAACAAATCTGTTAAATGAATGATTCAAACGACTCACTCACGTGTCAGCATTTACTTGTTAGCGCCAGCCTCTGGGTCAAATGGAAAAAGTGCCGCCTTGTTTTCTGCTCTATTCTGCTGCCCTCCATCTCATTGTTTTTAACATGGGACTTTAGCAAGCTTAGATCAAAGAAAACTGTAAACAGGAAGCTGTTACCACAAGATATTCAGCTGAGGTACACAAGTGCTGCTTAAAGACTCATGGGTAAACTGTGGTGCTTTATATAGAATGACACTCTGTTTCCGGAGCAAGGCTTACTGTTGTAGTTCCCAACTATTATAAATTAACCCACAGTGATACACCCAGATGCTCGTGTGGTTTCATGGCCCCAGTCTCTCTGACGGAGAACATGATGCATGACTAGCTGTAAAAACTACCGCTTTAGTGGCACCCAGGGCTGCAGAAAAATAATCTTCACTGAAGAAGATGAAGATGAATAATATCCACTAGCGGTACCAAATGAAACTGTAAAATAATGATTGTCTCCCATACAGTCCATCTGACATTGTTTGTCAGGTTACAGTAGCATGTCTCAGTTAGCACCTGCTGGTAGATGTCATAACTACACCATCTGTACCCTGCTTCTTTCCCCATTGACAGTCATTCAAAAATTAGCTGTGTATTACTATTCTGATGAGAATTATATATATATATATATATATATATATATATATATATATATACACTCACTCACCTAAAGGATTATTAGGAACACCTGTTCAATTTCTCATTAATGCAATTATCTAATCAACCAATCACATGGCAGTTGCTTCAATGCATTTAGGGGTGTGGTCCTGGTCAAGACAATCTCCTGAACTCCAAACTGAATGTCAGAATGGGAAAGAAAGGTGATTTAAGCAATTTTGAGCGTGGCATGGTTGTTGGTGGGTGCCAGACGGGCCGGTCTGAGTATTTCACAATCTGCTCAGTAACTGTGATTTTTTTACACACAATCATTTCTAGGGTTTACAAAGAATGGTGTGAAAAGGAAAAAACATCCAGTATGCGGCAGTCCTGTGGGCGAAAATGCCTTGTTGGTAAAATGCTAGAGGTCAGAGGAGAATGGGCCGACTGATTCAAGCTGATAGAAAAGCAACTTTGACTGAAATAACCACTCGTTACAACCGAGGTATGCAGCAAAGCATTTGTGAAGCCACAACACGCACAACCTTGAGGCGGATGGGCTACAACAGCAGAAGACCCCACCGGGTACCACTCATCTCCACTACAAATAGGAAAAAGAGGCTACAATTTGCAAGAGCTCACCAAAATTGGACAGTTGAAGACTGGAAAAACGTTGCCTGGTCTGATGAGTCTCGATTTCTGTTGAGACATTCAGATGGTAGAGTCAGAATTTGCCGTAAACAGAATGAGAACATGGATCCATCATGCCTTGTTACCACTGTGCAGGCTGGTGGTGGTGGTGTAATGGTGTGTGTTTTCTTGGCACACTTTAGGCCCCTTAGTGCCAATTGGGCATCGTTTAAATGCCACGGCCTACCTGAGCATTGTTTCTGACCATGTCCATCCCTTTATGGCCACCATGTACCCATCCTCTGATGGCTACTTCCAGCAGGATAATGCACCATGTCACAAAGCTCGAATCATTTCAAATTGGTTTCTTGAACACGACAATGAGTTCACTGTACTAAAATGGCCCCCACAGTCACCAGATCTCAACCCAATAGAGCATCTTTGGGATGTGGTGGAACGGGAGCTTCGTGCCCTGGATGTGCATCCCACAAATCTCCATCAACTGCAAGATGCTATCCTATCAATATGGGCCAACATTTCTAAAGAATGCTTTCAGCACCTTGTTGAATCAATGCCACGTAGAATTAAGGCAGTTCTGAAGGCGAAAGGGGTCAAACACAGTATTAGTATAGTGTTCCTAATAATCCTTTAGGTGAGTGTATATATATATATATATATATATATAATATTTTATAATACTATAGAGTGGTTTGCTAGTGTTTTTTTTTGTGAGGAGTAAATATTCATTATTCAAATAATATCAGATAATTTGTCATTTTTATGACATGGCAAGGTTATTGCTGGTTGTTAATTGTTACATAATGTCACATGTATTGATATTTATGAATTAATAATTCATGATATTTGTATAATAATAATTATTTTAAAATGATTTCATCATAGCAACAACTCATCATAAGTTGTTGCTTTTCAAATCTATATGAAACCAACATAAATACAAAGAGTACATTTCTAAGAAGTTGGTACAGGTGTTTTAAACTAGAATTTTACAAGATTTTTCAATATTAATTATTATTGATGTGTGCTTTGGAAGTGACAGGCATTAAATCATTGTCTGCTGCAGACTTCTTTTCTTCTTCTTTTTTTTACCAAATGATCCAATGAGTCGATGTGCTGCCCAGACAGCAACATAGTGTCGGCCCAAATCCGGCCCAAACCTTGGCCGTGTGGAATCCACGTGTACCAGATGTGGGCCGGATCTGGGCCGACACTATGTTGCTGTCTGGGGCAGATAGTAGACCCTTGTGCTGACTGACTGACCAGTGTCTGAACCCAAGATAAAAAAAAAGCAAAAATAAAATGTTTGCTGTTTTTTTGCATAACTATACTCTATACATACTCAAGCTTTTTGACTTGTTTTCTCAGGTTTTCACCACATACTCCAATGAGGACTACGACAGACGCAATGATGATGTTGATCCCATGGCGGCTTCGGCTGAGTATGAGCTGGAGAAGAGGGTGGAGAGACTGGACCTATTCCCCGTCGAGCTGGAGAAGGGTACGTGACCCGCCTTACTAGACCATGTGTGTTTTTAGAGCCTGTTTGGTATGTCCTCAAGGGTCCTTAACTTCCTGTTTCTAAACAAACTGACTGAAGCAGCTTGTTTTGGTCTGTAAAGTAAGCTTTTGCTGATTAGACAGTCTGAAGGGTCGAGCCCTCTCTCTCAAAGCAGTCTGGCGGTTACCATAGCCACTGTACGTGAAATATCACAGCGTAGACATAGATGAGTTGTGTTGAGCTGTGTAGCTTTTATATTGCAATGGTCAAATTAAAGTTACATTCAATCTGGGCTTAAAAAATAAGTGATTAAGAACAAGATCATTCCAAGAGGATTATTTGAAATCAAATGTGTTTATAAATTATAATTGCTAAATAATTATAATCCCCAAATCTGGTCAAAGGATTTACAGTCACAGGATTAGTCCCATACTAATTCTAGATCATTATCCCAATATTTAGTTATTGGCATCTAAAAGCCTTAAACCTCTCTAAAGTGCCCATTTACGAATTAAAGCATTATATTATTAGTATATTTTACTGTCATTTATATACTATTATAATATTTGTTCATATTTTGAATTGCCATTTACTTTTATACTTTCGATTTTAGTTTGTTTTAGAAATTGTGTTATGTGCTTTTGTAATTTTTTAGGTTTCATTATATTTCTATATAGCTTTAATTTATTTTTATTTTAGTACTTACATTTATTTCAGTTAGTTGTTGAAGCAACATTTCAAATTTTCTTTAAGCTTTTAATAATTTGTATTTTATTTCAGCTTTATTTTAATTGCCGAACACTTTTAAAAAAATGTTTTTGTTAACAATAGCAACACTGATTTAAAGATTATGTTTTAGTATTTTGATCATAATACTACCGTGCCTACGTAAATAACTAAATCAGTCATTTCCACAGCATTGCAGCCTATAGACCTGATGTCTTCCTGTATATTATAACTGTGTTGTGTTCATTTACGAGACATGTGAACTAGTCATGATAACACTGTGATTCCTTCCGGTCAGATAAAGACGGATTGGGAATCAGCATCATCGGGATGGGTGCCGGTGCAGACATGGGCCTAGAAAAACTGGGAATCTTCGTCAAGACTGTGACGGAAGGAGGAGCCGCCCACCGAGACGAAAGGTCAGTAAGAGAAACTGTGAAGCTGATACATACATTTATGCTTTTGTCAAAATGAGTAGTGTCCATAAGTGTACATGGTTTTGTTATTTTATAAAACAGAAGTTCATCATGCTTGACTGAGAATTCAGTCAACACACATGCAGGGAAGGAGGGATGGTGCAGTTTATTGATCTATACTCAGTTGAATCTGACCTTGCAAAGTCGTCTGGGGATTTTCAGACCCTGGAGTGAATCATGGAGGTCATGGAGAAGTTACTTCTACCCTTCAATCTTAAGAGGTTTCAGCCTAGAGAAGCCCCCTTTTGCTCATGACGATCCTTCAGATCGCAGGAGATTCAGCGAGTGTTATGATTCTTAATAAAAATTCATAACGTTAGTTATTTCTCTCCGGGCTTGAGTCAGTAGGTTCGTGGTGCATTGCAGTGGCTTCCTTTTCATTTTGCCATGACATTTAGAAACCTAGAAGCCACGGGAGACATACAAACCTAATATACCAATGCTCAAATGTGCTGTAACCACATGTGTTTTTCCAAGCACCTCATCCTCACTTTCTGGCTCCTGATTGGTTTTTCTGCTGTCAATCAAACGTACGGCTGCCCTGACAAACAGGCTGCTCGGGCCATTTTGGATGGGCTTGGATAGTTTGACATGTTTTGTGACTGAGAGGGTCGATCGATCATTTTAACGGCCTGGAATACAAAAAGTGGTTTAGTTAAGTGGGGCACTGATTCACTGCTGCTGTCGGTCAGTTTTCAGGTCTATTTCAGACCGAATAAATTATTCCTTTGGCAATGTCAATTTCTTTACACATAGAGTGATGAGATTGTTCAGTAACTTGGCCCAAGATGAAGCAGCTATTTTACAAATGCGCTTTTTTTCCTCCCTGAGCTGTTATCCTGGTTCTTCTTCCCTTCGGCAGGATCCAGGTGAATGACTTGATCGTGGAGGTGGACGGAACCAGTCTGGTGGGCGTAACCCAGAATTTCGCTGCATCGGTCCTCAGGAACACCAGCGGCACTGTCAAGTAAGGAAACAAAACAACATTTGCATAGCGACTTTATTTTTTAAAATGTTTTGGAAAGTATACTAAAATACAGTAAAATCAGTAGTATTGTGAAATATTATTACAATTAAAATATTTGTTTTATATTTTTATATATATCTTCAGTGTGACATGATCTTTCAGAAATCATTGTAATATGCTAATTTGGTGCTTAAGAAATATTTCTTCTTATTATTATAATCAATGTTAAAAACAGTTGTGCTGCAGCCTGCTTAATATTTTTGTGGAAACTGATGCACTTTTTCTAGATTTTTTTGATGAATTCAGGTAGACCTCAAGCTTTAGTGTATTAGAACTTTCTTTCCCTCTATTTAATCCAGCATTATCTTTTGTTGTCTCTTGTCAGATACTCATTGACTCACTATCATCTCTAATAGTGCCGTTATAATGCAGTGTATCAAATAGATTGCTGCTTTCTGTCACTTTGACCTGTGTGGTTGTATCTACAATCAAGATGAGGGTTTGGGTTGTGGCCATTCAAACAAGCTCACGCATCTGCGTCCTGTTTTCTCTTAATCTGTCAGGCGTGGATGCTCAATGTTTGTAGTGCAGGAAAATGGAAAAATGTGATTAATAGACAAGGCTTAAGCACAGTCGGAGAGAACATGTTTAATAATAACTTTTAACTTTGTCGCTTTTAATACAGTTGAATGCATATGCATATGCATATGCATTTGATATTATGTGATTATTTTTTATAATGAAGGTCTTTTCCTTCCTGTAAATCTGTATACAGTATATTTTCACTAGACATCACCCTTCAAAACAGTACAGGAATGGCAGCTAGTCCACTAGGTCACCTGATTGGCTGGTGTTTGTGTTGCAGGTTTGTGATTGGCCGAGAGAAGCCGGGGGAACAGAGTGAGGTGGCCCAGCTGATCCAGCAGACACTGGAACAAGAGAAATGGCAGAGAGAAATGATGGAGCAACGCTACAACCCCTATATGGAAGAGGACGAAGAGGTAAAACTTCATAAGATACACAATGAATGGACCCTTTAACAGTCAACTTTTTCAATTTGTGACTAATGCTAAATTTGTGTTACATTTTGGACTTTTTTTTTTTTTTAAATCCTAGCTATCACTATTTATTTAAAAGTGAAATATTTGCAATTGTAAAATATAAATTCTATTAGGGCTGCATGATTATTCTAAATAAGAGAAGAAATTACAGTAATATTTCTCATTTTTAGATTCTTATTTATTTAAATTACAATAATAATAATTATTATATCACTATTTTATAGCCATATTAATATATAATCACACAATTTTGGCCAAATTGTGCTGCCCTACAAAAAGATTTTTAAAAAATCACAATCATAATTTTTATCAGAAAAAACGCAATTTGATTTTTTTTCCTAAATGGTACAGCCCTATACGGAAGCCCTGAACCGCAACGTAAAAAAAGAAAATCAGTAAAAAAAAAAAAGAAAATCAGTAAAAAAAAAATTAAAAAAAAGCATTTCGAGATTAAAGTCGAAATATTTCGAGATTAAAGTCGAAACCGCAACGTAAAAAAAAAAAAAAAAATCAGTAAAAAAACCCAAAAAAACTAGCATGTCGAGATTAAAGTCGAAACATTTCGAGATTAAAGTCGAAACATTTCAAAATTAAAGTCGAAACATTTCGAGATTAAAGTCGATACATTTCGAGATTAAAGTCGAAACATTTCAAAATTAAAGTCGAAACATTTCGAGATTAAAGTCGATACATTTCGAGATTAAAGTCGAAACATTCCGAGAATAAAGTCGAAACATTACGATAATAGTCTTCCATAGAAGTGTGTGCATATAACAGTGCGCGTCCACTGGCTCAGAGCGCGCGTGTGTGTGTGTTATCTGGGCTTTCAACAAAATTCTACACAGGTGCTAATCTACCATCAAGAATTACCACGGCGTTGCCTATAGACGAGCACACAGACTCCGCCGGAGTAGGTATCACAATGGTCCAAACTTTATGTGGCAGTGTTTTTTAAATGTTTTCGTGCTCGTCTAGGCAACACTATCTGGGTCGAGAACACAACAGTAACCGTTCTGTCTCCCTCTTCACCGTAAATACGTCCTGGATACATTTTATCATTCTGTATCCAATCATTTGACCGGATCCCGTGATTTCCTCAGATTTAATAACCACTAATGGTTCTCTGATATGATTGTAAAGCGCTTTGAGTGTAGACATATGAAAGCGCTATATAAATGCCTCATTCATTCATTAATTCATTAATTCATTCTAAAAGCTGGATATCTCCATCCAGTCTGAAAAGTGTTTTCCGGGTTGGTTTTCCTATAGGCTAAAATCTATTCCGGCGCAGTATATTTTATAACGTCCTATAATGGTAGCCTAATGCTGGTAGATTGTCACCTGTTGAATTTCCTTTTGTTGAAACAAAACACACACACACACAGTGTGAAACACTCGCTATGCACCATTATGAATGCCTGTGTGTGCGGCAATGTGAAACAATGGCAAGCACACGCGCAACTTCCACGGAAGACTGTATTCTCGTACTCTCGAAATATTTCGACTTTAATCTCGAAATGTTTCGACTTTAATCTCGAAATGTTTCGACTTTAATCTCGAAATGTTTCGACTTTTATCTCGAATTGCTAGTTTTTTATTATTTTTTTACAGATTTTTTTTTTTTTTACGTTGCGGTTTCGACTTTAATCTCGAAATGCTAGGTTGTTATTTTTTTTTACGTTGCGGTTTCGACTTTTATCTCGAAATATTTCGACTTTAATCTCGAATTGCTAGGTTTTTGTTTTTTTTACTGATTTTGTTTTTTTTTTACTGATTTTTTTATTTTTTTTTATTTTTACGTTGTGGTTCAGGGCTTCCGTAGCCCTACTTTCCATTTTTTAAACATGTTTCCTAAACTCTCCACCATTACAAGGTTTTAAATTTTATTTTATTTTATTTTATTAGACCAAAAAAAGTAGTGAAATACACTCATTTGTCAAGGATAACACAATAAAGTTAAAAACTGTGTCCATTGCAGTCCTTGATGTAAAGCACAAATTTCACTCCAAGTGACAGGTTACTTTGGCATTGCATGCTATTATAAATACAAAGCTACAATAAGCTTCCACATTTGCAAAGTTTACAATCACAATTAAACATCCACTCAATACACTAATACAAATTCATCACTAAAACAACTTATATAATAACCAACTTTTGACTTTCAAACTAAAACCAACAATAATTGAAACACTTTTAATATCCAGAGGCAACTTATTCCACATTTGAGGATCCCTGAGTATTCGAAAGACCTACGACCATACAAAGTTTTAAAATGATATAATGTAATATCCACGAGACTTTGCCTAGCATTATAAAAATGTCCCTCACTTACCCGATAAATATGTGTTAAAATATATAGGAGCTTTATTATTGATTATCTTGTGTACCATTTTTTATTTAAAATGTGCGACTCTGCTTTCTATAGGTAACAATCAAGTTGTCTAAAATAGGATACATCAACATGTGTAAAATGACTAAAACCTAAAACCAACCTTATCAATTTATTTTGAGATTTCTGTAACTTATCCACGTGAATGACCAGATTTGAAAGTTGTACATTTAGCTTCGAGGCTTGGAAATGTTTTTTGGGGCTTGATTATATATGCACCCATTGCAAAATTACTGAAAAAACAAACATTGTTTTCACTCAATGTTGTATAAAATTGCTTTCTATTCTATTAAAATCTATTATTATGCTTCCAATTGAGTGGCACCCCATGCATTGCATATGTTATTCCTTTTTAGCTCCTCTGACCTCAGATTTCACAAGTTAGACTGGAAATGCCAGTCAGTGTGTGTGTGTTTTACGTAACATTTGCTGATGGCACTGACCATTCCTTCATCGAAACACTCTTTCAGGAACCATGATATAACAATAATTAGCATTCATTGCTTTAACACGTTCACCCTGTACCTCCTCTACATGTCTCATGATTGTCCTCCACACCTGCCCACTTTGCTATGGCGTGAAGGGAATTGATTAATAATTCAGATATTAAAGATTGACAAGTTCTCACATTTGATATTTTTGGAGATCTTGGGTAGGGCAGAATTCCATCACAGTGCATCTCACGGCTTAATTTGCCATCTCAGTGCCCTCTCAGCACGTTCTCCTCCGCAACACTGAGCGCACGTCAGTCTGATGTTATCTTAACGTTTGAGAAGTGCTAAAACAGACAGTTTGTCGTCTGCTACTTCACCCACATGGCAGAGTTGGACCCAGGGAGACAGAACGACAAACTGGGCTCTCTGAGATAGAAAAACACATTTGTAAATACAGAATAATGTACAGTACCGGTATATATCATTTTATTCAGCAAGGACACATAATTATTCAAGACTGCAGTAAGGACTTTTACATAACATATTTATATTTGTATTATTATTTTGTTTTATATATTGGATTAAAACAAAATACATTCATAATAGTGCATTAAAAAAGTTTTAAATATTGTTTTTATTATTCATTTTTATGTGAAGTAAATGTAAAATATTATTTGATACTATTACATCTATTTTTTTTTTAGTTAAATAATGTTAAATATTAGAAAAATGTTAACAAATGTGTGTATACATATACAAATACACACACAGACACACGCATAAATACATACATTTGTATTTATAGCAAGTGATGACCGAATTTTCATTTTTGGGTGAACTATCCCTTCAAGATGAGATAATCCAATCCACTTTATTTCTATAGCACATTTTACAAACACAAAGTTACCAAAGTGCTGTGATTCTTCGTTCTTTTCTTGTAATGCTGAACTGATACTAACCTACAAAATTGAAAAGGTCATTATAAACAAGATCAAAACTCTACATCAGAGGAACCAAGATTTTCACCAAGCATTTCTGTCACATGTGTCATGAACTGTGACTGTTTTCCTGATAAGAGTTTACACTGTTCACTCATCCAGACAGGAAGTCATTGTGCGAGAGTTAGCCTGCACATGTCCTAACTTGTAGGGGAAGTCCATTGTTAAAAGGAAGTTTGTAATAGTAGTGTATTTGCAGTGGCTTTTAGGGAGTGTTGGGTGTACGACGGGCTTTTGGGGTCAGAGTAATAGCAGTTTTGGGATATGGAGAACATGCTGGTTGTTTTATTTCAGATGTTGTTGGGGCATGCAGTTTCTCAAAAATACACAAGAGACTTTGTGTGTTTATTTAAGGTCCAAGATATTCTCCAAGGTTTTGACAGCTCCCAAATCACTCCAAATGTGGCACATCAATGTATCAAGCGGTTGCAGTTCTTTCAATTTGCTTTTATCCGGCTTTACTTCATCTTCCTGCAGCTGCACAGTCAATTCAAAATGGTGGTTGGCCAGTCACAGGTTTTTTTATAGTGTCCTGGCATGCATTTCCCCCTTGATCCAATTGGTTTCTGCCTAGCTTAACTCTGACATCTAGTGGTTAATGTTATTAACACACTGATCAGACACTAACACATACCCAAAGTCCTATAAATAAACCTATTTTGCTTTTTAAATCCATTGAAATCAGATATACAAATCTTATTTGCACGCGTCTCAATGTCTTTCTTTCTTTGTCTCTCTCCATTTCTTGTCCATGTTCAGACGGGTGAATATGCCACAGATGAAGAGGAAGAGATGAGCCCCATGTTTCCTAATGCCATCGAGGTGTTTGACCTGGCAGAGAATGAAGACATGGTTTCTCCTGTGGAGATGGACCCAGAGAAACTCGCTCACAAGTTTAAGGAGGTCAGTAGAACGTACAAGGGAACTTCGAAACCTGGCCACTCGTAAACACAGGACCTATAAAATATGCAAACCTGTTCTAACTGGCATTATTTACTAACCAATATCCGATAATTATATTTATATTTTGAATGTAGAGTTTTTTTTTAATCTTTTTTTATTTTAGTGTATTGTTTTACTTTTATCTATCTATATGTCCGTCCGTCCTCACCGTCTGTCTGTCTATCATCCATCCATCCATCCATCTATCTATCTATCTATTATCTATCTATCTGTCTTTCTGTCTTTCTTTCTGTCTGTGTGTCTAAATGTTGGTCTGTATCAACAATCAATATTTTGTGACAATCAATAAGCCGTAAAATGGACATTAAATATACAGATACATTTTCTCTTTTTTTAAAGAAATTGCGTTCACACTTAATCTAAAATCTAGAATTATATGTTTCAGTGTAGAATTTTAATTAAATTCAGATGGCCAAACGTCATGAACAGATGGAAAGATGGATAACTGTTTAGTACTTTTAAAACTTGATATTTAAAAATGAAAGATTATACTGTTTGAATTTATATACAATATATTAAAAAAATGTTAATATTGATTTATAACATTATGGTCACCTATATTGTACGTCCTTAAAATAAGTCTTACTTAAAAGTGCCTAAATATATTATTATATAACTTAAATTGAATGTTTTGTAGACATGCATCTGTAAGATTTTAAATCAGTAATGAAGAAAAATGTACATTAACATTGCTTCCATTGGATGCTTCAGTACTCTCTCCGTCTCTGTCTCCAGCTCCAGATCAAACATGCTGTGACCCAGGCTGAGATCCAGCAGCTCAAGAGGAAGGTATGACTGACCGTCACAGACACCACTTGTACATGTCATTTTGTTTCCTAGCTTTAGATTTTAAGGTTTCAGAAGAATAAACATTTGTAAGAGATCTATAAACAACCTTTATTTACCCTTGTGACAAGATCTCTCTCTCTCTGTCTCTGTAGCTGGCTCACGCTGAGCAGGATAAGCTGCGCTGGAGGATGGAAAGGGCTCAGTTGGAGCAGACGGTGAGAGAGAATAAGGAGCGGATGGAGAAGTTAGAGGGCTATTGGATGGAGGCTCAGAGCTTGTGCCAGGCAGTGGACGAGCACCTGAAAGAGACGCAGACGCAGTACCAGGCGCTGGAGCGCAAGTACAGCAAAGCCAAACGCCTCATCAAAGAGTACCAGCAGAAGTGAGTGTGGGAAATGCTGGATAATAGCCCGTCAGACTCAAAGACTTTAATCAGGATTACAAAGCAAAATAAGCATGTATCATGGGGTTTGTGGTTGAAGGATTTGGACAAAACTCCTTCATGTAACCTAGCGAAAGGGTTTAAATGAAGTTGTGTTTATGTGTGTGTCCTAATGCAGAGAGATTGAGTATTTGAAGAAGGAGACTGCGCAGCGCAGAGCACAAGAGGAGTCAGAGGCCAGCCACAAGGTGGAGACAGAAAATCTCCAGGAGAAGGTGCGTTTGGAAATCACTATTTCCAGAAACTGCCAATGCAGTTCATTCTCATTCACTCATACATTAGCTACGTTTACCGGCACCCAAATCATCGGATTGATGTCTCAATCGGACTGAAAAGCCTTCGCGTTAAACACCTTACTCGATCTGATTTAAATTTAGATTGGATTGAAAGGGGTGGACCTGAAATAATCTGATCAACAGACAAAAAATGAAGCATGTAAACGTCTACAATGCCTGTGTGTGTGGTCTGCATACTTGAATGCAAATACTAGTTTTATACTACATTATTGGTTCCTGCTAAAACAAACATCACTCTTAATATTTAGCATACTTAGGGTTAACGTTTACACTACCATTCAAAATGTGGGCTTTGAGCAGCATATCTTCATATTAGAATGATTTCTGAATGGTCATGTGACACTGAAGACTGGAGTAATGATGCTGAAAATTCAGCTTTGACATCACAGGAATAAATTACATTTTTAAATAAATGAAAAGTGAAAACAGCTATTTTAAATTGTAATAATCTTTCACAATATTACAGTTTTACTGTATTGTTGATCAAGCAGATGCAGCCTTTGAACGGTATTTAAATGATTTACGAATAAAAGCATATGCAATGTGTATAAAAATCTAAATATTAAATGTAACTTGCTTAAACTCCAATGTGTTTCCATCTCAGATTACTGACTTGGAGTCAAAGGTTGGCACTCTGAAGAGCTTGGAGCCTTCGTAAGCCTTCCACTGTGGAACTGACGGAGAGAACGACAGAAACGCCTTCAACTCCGCCCACTCTACCCTCCGACCACATTTTTACTCCATGACCTGAAGAACCTGATGGACTACAGGAAACATGCTGAGGGGATGTTACCGGGGACAAAGAGGGGACAAAACAAACACTGTACCAGACGCCCGAGGGACGTCTAGCTATCAGGAGGCCCTTTTTATAGTCATTTATTCATGTTCTCCTTGTTTCTTTTTAAGCGCCCTTAAAGGTATTATGAGCCTCTCTGCTCTCGGCAGGAATGTAGAACCTCTTCGTTAATAAATGTTCACTCACATGCTTGCAGGAGAAGAACGAAGCGGTTGCCAGACGAAGACGGCACGGATGCCCACACGCACCATTAATAAATGTAGGATCGGAGCGAGGGGCAGCCTGTATCGCAGTGATTGACAAGAGGACTGTTTGTATATATTCTGGCATATATTTAAATATTAAAATCGCTTAAGCAATGTGCTGGGGGGGGGGATGGGGTAAGGGCTTCTTTACTTTTCACATCTAGGCAAATAATACAGTGAAAGTCCATTTTTGCATGGCAAAAGAGATGGTCAAGTTTTTGTTTTTTAGGCCACATTGGAAAACAGGGTGTGACAAGTGTAATCTTGACATTTAGAGTTAGCATTCAGGAGCTTTTTATGTTTTCTTTCCGTGTAAAAGAAATGGTAATGGAGGTGTAGAATGAACAGGGGCTTATGGGTAACGGTTTCTTCACAGGAGAAACATCACCCTGTGCTTAAACTCCAGCGCTTGTGGTTAGTTGGTGCAGTGTGCCTCGGTCAACCCTGCAATGCCGCCTGACTCTAATGTGACGGTGTAAGAATTCTGAATCAATCAGAAATATGGCCTTGCTTAATTGCTACACAAAATCTTTCACCAGCCCTCTCTGTTTTAAGCACTCTTAGTGTGTTTACTACAATGTTTCGGTCTCCGGGGACCACGGTAAGTGCACTTGGTTTGCACTACAGAGAGTCCTGGAGAATCCTAAAGTTTTATGTCTCTGTTGGCTTATATTGTCCTCTGTCCTGCTGGACGTGATTTGATTCAGTATTATCATTCCATATACATTGATATGGAATCTCCTTTTAGTTGTTTTGTGGTGTTAAAAGCCACTTTGGTATTTTTTTTGTCTTAAATGTGTTCTTTTAAATGGTTCTCCTGGGAAAACTGGAATTTTGACAGCAATTGTGAGGCTTCAATCATGGTCTCAATTTAGTGTGTTGACACGAGCATAATTTGTGTAAAATCTTCGTAAACCCATTCTTATGTCAATTTTTGCATCTAATTGAGTGCTTCAGTTAATGTAAGCGCTGGTTCACATAGAACGCATTACAGTGCTGCTTTTCGTTATTTTTCTATTGTAAGAAAATAACGTCTTGGACTGTCTCGCTTCTCCGCTGACTCGCGCACGAGTGTCCCGTTTTTTCGAAGCTGTGAAGCGTCTCGAGACCCTGCGTTCTTTTCTTTCTTTATTAGGCTGCGTCCGAAAGCTTAGGCAGCTGACTTGCCTCGCTGCCCTATCAGGCAATGACTTTGCAGGCATCGTCTGCGCTCAAAGGTTTCTCACGAAACTGATATAGGACAGACCGCAACAAAATAGAAAGTGCTTTGGTGATAACTAAGCAAATATTGAGTTACTATAATAAACATTTTCTTGCTAGAAATGACATCAAAAGTGGGAAGAAGTTGGTCAGAATCTTTGTTTACACAAAATGAACAGCAACCTTTCAGACCCCATATTTATTTTTAGCTCAACTGTCATGAAATGGAACACAGGATTCTGGGATATCATAGGCAGTGAAGGATACATCTATGCTGCCTTCAAAAATCAATCAGTTAAAGGTTTCTTAGTAGACAGGATATGGGACACGATCATTGGATTAGGGCGTGCCTTGTTGACTTCCTACATCCGTCTATTTTTCAGCTTTCGGACGCAGCCTTAGGTACCGCCTCTCATGTTTTAAACTGAAGAACGTCTTCTGTGTGAACGCCCCTTAAAATCATTATTACCTGAGATTATAGTTCAGTCGGATAGCTGTGGCCTGTTCTCTTCACTGTTGGGCCTCTCACATCAACCGTATAAATGAAACAGAACCGAGTTTGTTACTCTGCACAGTATTGAAAACTCTCAAGAGTATTGGAGTTCTTCCATTTCCCCCGAAAGTATTTATGTGTTCAGCTTTTTATGCGATTGTTTATTTTCATATAGTTTTTAATATTTTTTTTTAAGTCATTGGTTAAAAATGTTGAGCAACAGGGTAACACTGAGAATACATAGGACAAAGAGTTTTGTCAAACGATGCAACCAACACACAGGCCTATTCTAGGAATCTTACAATCATTGATATTCCGCGGTTAAGTTAACGTATTTTGTGCGTCAATCATCCTAAACCGCAATAAGACTTGAGTTTATGTCTGACTTTCATTGTCAGTCACCTAAAACAATTTTTCAAGCAAGCGAGGTCAAGCACTGACAGGAAACGATATTTCTCGCTCCGTTAATTATGGGACTATTATCTCGGTTTTACAGCACTGTTTAACCCTGACTAGAAACCTCAGCGTTATCTAGCAACCAAGTGCAGAACGTTATTTGAGAAATTACATAATGATTGACGCCGCGGTAAATGTATATAGATCTCAAAAATAGAACAATTTTGAGGGCTTTTTTTTCTCTTTTATTTGCAAAATGTCAAGGAAACCATGATTTCCCATCCGCCAGGAAGAAGCCCACTGGCTTGACAAGGACCTAAGACATTCGAACAAAACGGTCATATTTGCTGTGTATAGTTCTGTTTACTGTGAGCCTCTGTTTGCTGGGATTTATTATTGTAATGTGTGGCTAGTACACAATGACCATGTGTATGGATGTCCAGACGGTGGCACAGTTGAAACATGGAAACGTTCATTTATTTCCCCCGTGCATTACACTGTAGAAACAAGCAAACTGAGTTATGGAGGAAACGAACACTTTGAATCTTATTAACGCTTTTAAATTTCACACTTTAGCTTAGCTTAGCTTAGCTTAGCTGCTGCCTTTAATGAAATGAATTTGCTTCCATGTACAGGAAAGAGCTCTGTGTTTATCTCCTCACACTGCTGGTATAAAAGTTGGTTCCTCTTTATTTTTGGTGTCTACAGTGTATTTAAATCGAAATCTAATAATAAAAATGAGTACAGAATAACGCTGTGGTGTCGTTACACATGCATCAACTTGTTTGGAACTATATTGGAGGGGGGGGGATGCAAAAACTTGTAATTTCCATAATTATGGCATTATCACATATGTCTGACATCTAACGTAAAGCAGGAACGCCTTTGATTTTATAGTTGTTTTACGAACTTGACTCCATTTTCCTCTGTACTATTTTAGTTCCTTTTTTACCCCTGCCATGTAAATTGCTACCACATGAACAAGAGGAAGATGTTCTCCATTTGAAATAATTATCATCATGTTCAATAATTGCATAAGTACTGTCATAATAAATGCAGAAATGTGCTGAGCAACAGCAAATTTTGTCTGTTTTGAGAGTCAGTGTGGGAATATGTACATTGTCGAGCAGGTGATTTTCTATGACGTTTTGTTGAGTTGAAATGTATTTTTTCCTTTGACATTATAGTAGCAACGAGCGATATTGCAAAATAATGACTTAATACAAATACAACAGGGGCCGTGCATTATTATTTTTCTGTCTCATAAAAAAATAAGGGCGGGAAATAACCATGTGTTGCCCTCTGTGAATATCAGTATGGCCATGGTTGGAATGTCATTATTTCTGTCATTCCATTTGGTGCGATCACATCTAACGGGGAACATTCTCAGAACTTTTGCTAATAGTCCTTGGGCCAAGACCCAAAATTTCACGTATTGGTACCATCTGGGTGGGCAAATTCTAGTTGTGATTTTTTACATCCTATGCATCCCTAGATAATGTTTTGACATGATAACCCTTGCCAACTGGCAGCTTAGTAGTGGTTATGACCGCTTGAAGTGACTGACCCCTGTAAGCGGAAAAAATGGCAAAAGTACCTTCCATGGAAATAATCTGGTTCATCCAGTTGATAATTCATCAAGTGGTTCATTCATCACAAATAAAGTAGGTTCCAAATTAGTGAAATAATAAGATAAAGGCAATCATTCCAAAATAAATGGCTAAAAATTGCTAAATTTGGAAGTTTTAGCATGTCAAACCGTAATACCCCAATATCATGAAATAGTCTAGCCAACTAGGTGAACCCGGAAATGTTGAGTACACCAAAGTTTTATTGCAGAAATGAGAAGTATGGGTCCCCAGCATACAGAAACTGCCGGATGCTAATTAATTTGCATATGTTGAGCAATTAGCATGATTAGCATTATTAGCTTAATTGTCCATTTTCACCAGATATTTTGCACTGTATGGTCAATTTCTACAATATGTGAGTGGTTTTAGAGGATGCTGATTTCATTTCTGGCATTTTCAGATTTCAAAGAGATAATTTTATGACATATTTTGATTTATTTAGGCAGATTATGATTACTTTCAGGCATAATTTTCGGTTATATTTATGGTAAACAAAATAATTTTACATTTCACAATCATGAGTGCAATTGTGAATGTTGATGCATTGTTTTCCGGGTGTAGTGAGGCTGAATCCCATCCTGACACTTTTAAAAATTTAAAATTGCTTTTTGGATAAACGATGAATCTTTGTTAGGCTGAATGTCATGCATTTCTGGAGGAAAAATCAATGCGGGTATTTAACATAACTTGGATCATGAAACTGTACGATACATATTAATGGGGTAGGTCTTTAAGACACCCATTGAGATGACATCACCTAAACCCATCACCATGTGTGATCAACGAACTATGTACAAATATACACTATATACATGCCATACAAGAATGCAAGTCGCTAGGGCAACGCCCGAATGGCAGAAGGGCTGCCCAGGTTGGTCCGCAAGGCACAAGATCCAACGAGGACCCAGTTAAAACTCTGTAGGACGCAAGAGTTAAAACTGAGTCTGGGCAACCCGGGTCAGCCCGCCAGACGCAAGGCTAACCAAGAGGGCCTCACCTCCGCACCCCACAAAGCACACACTGGCTACCACCTTCAGGCAAACTGCTATGCCTCACAATTAATGAACAAAAGGCAGCCTCATCATATTCACTGTTCGTCTGTTCTGTCATCATCTTCTCCAGACCCTTCATCCCTCTCTTTGTGTTATTGGTGTTGTGTAAGTATGTTGCCTTTGCAGGAACAATAACTGGTACAGGCCAGACCTGCAGCTGCACAGCTGCACTTTGCTGATGTGCAAGGTTTCAACCCGGCTTTGCAACCAAAGCCTGCAACAGCTTA